ATAAATAGAAAAATTAAACATTTTTTTATTCATTATTATGTCTAAAGAGTAGAATTTAAGGGAATTACTTGGCATTTAATGTTTTTTTAATATAATTTTTATAATAAATTGAACGACATCATTTTATTAGGCTAAAAAATTAATAAAAAGCATTTGCTCAAGCACTTTAGGTGCCATTAAGCACACCTAATAGTGCTTGGGTGTGCTTAATTGATCTAGGTGGTGCAAACTGCATTGAATTTTTGTGGGTGGAATGGCATCGCCTAGAGCCTAGGCTGATGCGGGCGTAATGGCACCGCCTAGAGCCTAGGCGGTGCCTAGGTGCCGCCTAAGCACACTTTTTACAACACTGATTTTATGTGGCTATGTAACTTCTTAATTATTGATCAGCATCACAAGACATAATGGATAAACAAAGCTCAAGTAAGTGACTGGTGACAAGAAGGGGAATATGACAAGATATAATTATACCTCAAGGATCCAACCAATGTACTTCACATTATTAACATGCTGGTTGACATCTAAATCACTCCATCTAGGCTGCAAATTAGAGAATCCATAATAAGAATGAAACAAATGGGCAGAAAACATTTGATATAGATGTTAACTATCATACAAGAAAATCAACTTACAGTTAAACCTTTGTGAACAAAATCTGCTGTGTTGTCATTAAGTTTCACTAGTTTCCTGCTGTCCTCATCAACAACAGGATCAGAGTTCATAAAATAAGGTTCTATTTCCCTTCGAACCTCTTCTGGCATTTTAGATAATCTCCTTGTAAGTTTGTTCATCATAACCCACACACTGCAGATCAAAAACCAAACCAAGAACCATGAGAACCCAGACTGATAAAAAAAAAAAAAAAAGAAAAGAAAGAAAAATCATGAGAACCAAGATAGATTACTATTGGAACAGAATTCAAAATCAATTGCAATAGATTTAGTGACAAAAAAAGGCTGGGACAGTTTCTTATTGTCCTGAGGAACAGTTTTTGTCAAAACGTCTTTCTTTTCAGGCCCCTTTCTAAGACACAAGTTTTGATCAGTGTTGCTCTTTCCATGTTTAAAACATAGCCATATAATATATTTAGCATAATCAATGCAACTCCAAAAACAACCTCCACAAAAAGGTACACTTGAAAACACTGGAAGTTTGATGAAGCTCCACAAGGAATTCCTTACCTAGAAGCCCTTGTTAAAACTTCACCAGTGTTACAATCACGGAGAAGCCAATCACGCCGCATACCATTCTTTCCAGATGCATCAACCCATGTGTCCACCTGAACAACATCACCCCTGCAAGACAAGGGTAATTTTCATAATACTGCAAAATTCTTATCCAAATTAATCCTTAAAATGATATCCCGGAAACTGACAAGATTCCAAAAACATTCATAAATTCAATACTTAGTGTGGCATGAATAAAGCAAAGATAGGGCAACCATATAATTTAATTGTAGTCTACATTTGAAGGAGTAAACTTATGTTGAATACAAAAAAATGAAAATAATAAGAAATTAACTTTAATTTTCTGTTATTCTTTTTGATTAAATTTATAACCTGTGTGAGCAACTTCTCATGATCAGACATGTTACACAACTTCTCATTATTAGATAGATGGGGAAAAATTGTACTTTGGAAGAAAAGAACAAACAGTAAGAATAAAAGGTCAAGGACTCCAGTAGAAACTCATCATAGGGTGTTCATTTATCCCTTCACAGGAAAAAACCAGTGATCCATATCTAACCAGAATTAAGGATTAAAATGGATTTTATTGGCCCAAGCACTTATTTGTTGAGAAGACACTGATCCAATTCGGAGTTGTTGATGTTTACACCAGTCAATCATAAAAGAAAATTTTCTGATTCATTCCGATTAAGCTTCCTTCCTATTAATCTGGTTGAGATTAACATTTTCATACATTATTCGGGTAAACTAAACCTCTTCAACAAAATAAGTTTACACAATCAGGCTTTGAAAGCAGATTACATTAAAATAGCACGTGTCAGATTTGTCATTTTTTATATTTATATTGATACATTCTACTTTCCTGAGGATTGGTGACCATAGTTATTCACTTTAGACTGTTTGTCCTGAGACAGAATGGTAGATCAGTGTTTAAACAAAATTAAATATTGATTACCTGAGAACTAATCAAAGTTTGTTTACCTAATATTGAATATTAACGTCTATACCTATTCAGCTATTCTAAAAGGCTATAAAGCTAAAACATTTATCACTTAATAGAGGTTCAAACTTAAAATAAACATGGGTAAAACTCATATGCATCTAACTTTGTTTCTAAATAATTCTAAAGAAGCTTTTCAGATACAACCAAAAACTGAGACAATAGCCTGCAACCAGGTAGGCCTCAAAATGATTATATGATGATGAATATTAGGAGTAGAGCCCAATTTTAAACAATTAAACTCTCCCAGAAATGCAGAGCCAAAAACCAAGCATAGGTTGGAGGACAACTGGGACTGAATTTATGTGAAAAAGAGATTCAGGAGCCTATTCTAAACCACTCCCAATAAAGCATATCATACAATGGAAAAGGCTTACCAAGTAGGATAGCGATCCACCACAACCTGCATTCGAGTGACCACCCAAATCAAATTCTTTTTGCACATCTCTGGGGTTGAACCAAAGCCATCTACAAGAAGCCCAGCAGTTTTAACATGATTAAGGGCTGTTTCCTGCCACATAAATAAATAAACTAAAGATCAGGTTCACATATTTATGTAACCTTAACATCTAAGGAACCATTTAATATATATATGTATATATATATTTTCTTTTAACATGGTTGTCTCACATTCAAGCCATAACACCATGACAGATAATCTATAAATAAAAGGAACAAAATTGAACCTGTAAATGATTCATCAATGTTTCTATAGATGCTGTGCGATCGGCGCCTATCTCATATGACCTAATTGAGAAGTTTTGCCTGAACACAAGACCATCCTGAACAATTCTCCCAATACCGAACGGATCAATGAGCATATCTGACCGCCTCGGCTTCCAATCAAGCATCATCCATTGCTTCTCTGCTGCCAGGAAGATTGTGGTGATAGCAGCAAGAAGCATGCTCCAATCAGGTAATTGATTGATAAATGTTCTAGGAGGTGGAGAAGGTGCATCATCTTCATTCTTCAAGCCTTCCACGTGAGTTCCATTAATCCTAGGAGGAGCTTGGGCATTTGCCTTAACTTGCAAACTACGAGATTTTGACTTGCCACCCCCAAGGCTAACAGATCCACCTCCCACCTTCTTGTTCTTCACGCCGGCGTCCGAAGAGGAAGAAGTAACCGGAAAGAATGCAGAAGCAGCAGCAGTGGCGACCATGGTAAAAGTGTTTTAAAATCTCCACTTAGATCTGGCTTTCAAATTAAAAAACAGCTCAGAAGAAAAATCACAAATAATTCATGAAAAAAAACTGTCAAAATTCCCCGTACTTTTTTAATACAGAGGAAGAGCAATCAAATTTTTTTTCTCCATTGAGACTCCATTCCATGAAATATTGTAAACAATTAAAAAAGAGAGAGAAAAAAAAAAAAAAAAAGAAGAGAGAATGAGGACGAAACAAAACGCCATTTGAGCCGCATTTGGTTGCAGAGAAGCAGATCTCATT